ATTCTTTATAGTTTGGAATAAAATGTAAATGAATATGGTAGTCATTCAGAATCATTTAACACAAACAACTTTTTTTTCCAATAAATATTGATTCTTGAATCTCAAAATGCATGCATGTGCCATTTACAGTGCATTTGCATATGCTGTGTTATTTCAGGTGAGCCAGTGGCTCAGGAAGGTGTTCGGGCAGCAGCCGGTATGGGAGTTTGAAGTGAACACACGCACAGTGGAGATTCTGTATGAGCTGGCGGAGAGCAGTGAGACGAGATGCAGAGAGGCTGAGCTGCTCATCAAGGACCACGAGCAGAAAACAGAAGAGTACGGCAGTGATGGTGAGACTCTAGGACAGTCATTTTGGATAAAGTAGTCTGCCAAATGCATAATGGTTCTGTAAAAGTGCAGTTTTTTGTTGTGGAATAAATTAATCTGGAGCTGCTTGTCCGTGACAGGAACTCATCTCCAAGAAGTGCTTCTCCAGGCAGTAGGACTTAAGGCTGAAGGACTTTCCAGATCCACAGTGGACCTGCTGTCAGCACTGGAGGGAACCGCTGAAGTGCTTAAACTCAGAGACACATCACTTGGGAGGTAAAGTAACACTCTACATCAGTGGTTCTCAACCACATTCCTGGAGGACCCCCATCACTGCACATTTTGCATGTCTCCTTAATCAAACACACCTGATTCAGGTCACCTGCTCATTAGTAGAGACTCACAGACTTGAAATGGGTGTGGGGGTCCTCCAGGAATGTGGTTGAGAACCACTGCTCTACATCATAAAAGCGTTATTTACATCTATTACATCACATGCAAGAGATGATTTAGGCATGCTCCTGAGTCAACATGCATGGTGGTTTTGGAACAGCAACCACAGAACCTAACGTTAACCCTGAAATCTGACTGGTCCATAGATCTACCTGGCAAAATCACATTAAGCCATTCACCTTATGTGCATAATAAATGATTTAAACTAAGTCTGACATCTGCATTATGAGTTGCGTGGTTGATTTCACTCTCTTGGCTATCCAGCTATATGCCTGCAATCAATAATCTGACCAATGATGTGCTGGAGGCAGAGAAAACAGACCGGAGGTTGCAGTGGGAACTTACTGCTGTTAGAAAGAAAATGACTGCCGCAGTTGTTCTTCGGAAAAGACTTCAGGAGTAAGAAAACATTTTTTAAATGTATTTGTTTTAATCAAATGTACTCTATTTAATACATTTTTCTTTATTTTACTCTAATTTTTATTTATTTATTTTAATCTAATTTATTTTTTTTATTTACTATCTAAAACTTTTTCCAGTGATCTGATGAAGATCACACATACGCAGCAGGTGGAAGCAGCTACAGCGGAGGAGAGGCTTCTTAACATGGACTTCATGAAGAACAAATCCAGAGATCTCGCGTGCAGGAATAAGATTGCGCAGGTGTGTCTCAAAATTTTTATCAAGTAGTCAAATTACAGTTTCATATCTTCCACAGGGTTCCTACGCAGTTTGGAAATGTATGGAATTTGATTTGAGTCATTTCCAGGCCTGGAAAAGTATGGAAAAATATTTGCATTTCCAGACTTTTGCCCCTATTTAGTAGAAAATATATAAATTTAATGAAAATAAATGTATCTTACAAGAAGTGTGTTTTCATGGCAGCTGTTTAATGAATCTTTAGTGATTGTCAAACATGACTGAATTAATTCAAGGTGCACTTTTTTTATTATGCAAAAATGCAGGTTATATTGCAGGCTTTTTCTCAGGATATTCTTATCACCGTATTACAGAGCCTCTAAAAGGACATTTGCAAAAAAATAAATTATAAAGGCTTTCGTGTGCACATTTGAAACCATTAAACTTAGCATATAGGTGTGCCATCAGCCATTTTCACGGTGTGTTTTTTTTTGGCCGCCACAGAGTATGTGTTAAAGAGACCTTGTAATATGACATACTGCCCTAAAGAAAGCCAAATTTTGAACACTTTTTTTTTTTACAGTACCAGTCTTTTTATAGACCCTTGAACTTGGCAAGCAGGACAATGCACACAGCCGTATTGTGCCATCAGCCCACCGCCACAGAGGATGCATTAAAGGGCACTTATTATGCCCTTTTAACAAGATGTTATATTAATCTTATGGCTCTCCTGAATGTGCCTGTGAAGTTTCAGCTCAAAATACCATACAGATCGTTTATTATAATGTGTTGAAAACATACTGTATAAAAACATGGACGTAGTGTCTGTGACGTCACCCGTAGATTTCCGAAGAGCGTTTTTGAAGCTCAAAAGTGGGTGGAGGCGGCCGTCGCCATCTTGGCAGCGCGTCACCGCGCGTCACTCCCGGATAATCGAAAATGGGCAAAGAGGCGGGAGCAGGTTGCTGAAGCCACGCCCACCTAGCTCGACGGTGGTGACAGCAGCGGCAATCCACCTGTCACTCAAGTGGCCACGCCCTTAATTATGCAGCACTTTAAGGCTTAATATAATTTAAACGTATGAATTATAAAAAAATTCACCCCCCTCACAGTTGTCATGAAGACCAAAATCATTTTTTTAACCAGGCTGTAAACATGTTTTTTTCTGCTGTAAAGTTGGGCATTTTAACATGGGGAGTCTATGGGATTGACTCCCTTTTGCAGCCAGCCTCTAGCGGCCAGTTGATGAATTACAGTTTAAGTCACTTCCTTGTTGGCTTCACAAGAGAGAGCGGGAGGCTTGGTTGAAAAGTGTCATTTTTGGGGCGGGTCTAAAAAGTGCTGTTTCAGGGGTGTGTTCCCTTACATGAGAACTTCCCGCCCAACTCCAAAAGGGGGCGGAGCCTAGACGTCTCGAGTGAGAGGACCGGTATTCAGCCGTACGTGTACAAACCGGACTCAGACCCAGAACAAGGCGAGACTACAGCAGAAGAAACAATAATGAGAATGAACCAGAATGTCTCGGAATGGTAGTTTGAATAATTTATGTACTTGTATAGTTTTTCACAGCCGCTTTGTAACGATGGATGCGACACAGCCGATCGCACGCAGACAAAATGGCGGGCATGGCACAACACGCTGAGAGCTGAGGATATGGTAATATGCGCCTGTCAGTCAATAGCGGTGGGCGGGGCTACCGCAATATGACATCATATTGCGAACAGGATCCAAACCGCTCGTTTTTGTAGCCTGGTTTGGTTTTATGAAGATTTAAAAAAAAAAAAGACTGGATAGATTTTTATCATTCTAAGATGGCTGTGTACACACAATTCCAACACACGTTTCTGTCCAAACACCTTGTAAAAGTGGATTTTGCATAATAGGTGCCCTTTAAATTGGACGTTAGGCCTTGATATTAGAGGTACTAGCCTAATGAAAGCCTAATTTTGAGCAAATAGATCTGTATTAATTCATGTGCATCCAAGCTCTCATTTTCTTCATAGTAAGATGGCAGTGACACAAAAGGAAATGGGTTATAGTGTGTAAAACTAGAAAATGTAATGCATAAGCACGCAAAATATTCCAGTGCGCATGTGAATAGTTTCTCGAGGGCACGAAAAACTTGTGTGCATGCAAAAGTCTGTATGTATGTATGCAAGCAAATCAATGAAAAAACCCCTGAGAAAATCAAAATATTTACAGATGACTGTATTATATACCAAATATAAAGCTGAAAGTAATGCTCTATGAACCATTTATGCTAAATGTGGTCTGAAAATCTACTGAGAGGTTTGGGTAAATTTGAGTCTGGTGAAGTATGGAATTCTGAAATGGAAAGTGTAGGAACCCTGCTTCCATGCAGCCTAATACAAACAGAGTCTGTGTGTTTGTAACAGGAAAAGCTGGACGCACGGCAGATGGAGGATTCTCTTACCCATCAGGCCATCCTGCAGTTATCAGAGGTAAACTGATTGACCAGATTTCGGATCGATGCCATATTCATGCAGCGTCGTAATTACTGGAATGAAATAAAATGATCCATGTGCAGTTTTGTTTATTTTGCAGTTAAATGACATAAACCTAGACATTAATCAACCTATAGATATTTCATAAACCTCTTTTGTGGACATTTTTGTGCACACCTCCTATTGGAATTTAAGGTTTTAATATGTTCATAAATGTAAAAAAATATTAAATGAATATGGACCGTAACAGAACTGCACCTTCAGGCTGGTATGAAATTTAATTTAATGAATTTCTTTCATCTTTTATACTTAGAAAATCGCAGCTCTGAAAGAGGACTCACTACCCTTAAAGAAGAAACTAGAGCCGTATAGTGACTTGAGCCCTGTAAGTACAACTTCTATGAAGATTACAGCATTATATTGAACATGGAAACCATCATGTGACTTTTGCATAGGAAAGCACTGCTTGGTTTTGTTGTGTGGGTTGGTTAATAAATAATAATTTTGTCATGGCACAATGCACAGTATGAAGGACACATTATTCAATAAAATAATCACATCCACATCTAAATAAATCATTGTTAAGAGTTACTAAGATTCTATTATTGTTATTTTACCCATTTTTTTTTTTTAGTTTTCATCAGGATTATTATATAGCTTACAGGTTACTATAAAAAAGTGACTTGAAATAATTTTAATTTAGATTAACTTGATATACTAAAACAAAAATAAAAATGACTAAAATAAAAAATCATAAAAACTATATAGACATAAAAAATAAAAATGACGGAATTAACAACATTTTAAGTAAAATGAAAATGGAAAATATAAAAACTGATTAAAAATATTAATAAAAACTACATTAGTATGGCAATGATACTAAAATAACACTGGTTTTCATTACGGTTGTACTTTTTTTTCAGAGTCCAGCTCTTGCACGGGTGAAAATCGAGGAGGCTAGACGAGAGCTGGTAATTTTATTTATAAATGTAGTTTTATTTTGACATTTATTATTTTTTTATATTATTTACCTTTGTTGGAAATCATAATTTTTGAGTAACTTTTTCTTTTTCCCAAGGGTGCCCTGGATGCCCAGCTGGAGCAGAAAGTGGACTTCATGAACACTTTATCTCGATAATTTAAAATATCTAATAAAAAGCGTGTTAATAAATGCAATAAATGTGAGTTGTAAGTTGTGGCGCTTGTAATAAACGCAATTCCTCTCCGAGTCTCACGGTGGCGCCTTTTGTTTTTCCCGACTCCGCCGCAGCGGAAATGACGACTACACATTTGTTCCAGCGACGGCTAGTGGGGACATTTTAAATTAGCAAACTGCGCTAAAGCGGTCGGAAAGTCGAGAACACATAGCGGTTATTCCATAAAATTTCAATTAACTCCATATTTTCCTCATGAGTATGGTGTTGCGAGCCTGAGAAGTTCCAGAGAACACACACATGAGGACAGATTTGAACCAGGTAAGCTGCAGTCGACGGCGGTCGAGCGCGCTCTCAGCACTGCGCCTCTCCATTTTGAACCTCTACTGCAGTTTTGACCCAGTCCTACTTTCACTTTAATTAATGCACGCGTTTATACATGCATATATGCGTGCTGTATCCACGCAATGTGCCGTTTATAGAGCAGCGGTTGTGTCCAGACTGAGAGTGTTACAGCAACAGTGTGTCGCAGGATGAGCGTTTGTGCTGCAGTGTCTTCATTAGCACCGTGCAACGTTTAGTTTCGCGTGTTTTACTATTTTTCCTGTCTCTAATTATTTAAGAGCGGTGTTCCGTTCGTTTCTTTCGCAGCTGCGTCGGTGCATTGAGTTGCGTTGAATTGCACGCACGCACTATGATTTATAAACTGATTGGGATGTTGAGGAAGTATGCATTGATTTTTATTAATTGCAAACAAGACTGATAAACACTGTTGCATGCGTCATTAGCAGCGGCTCGTGATCTTCATGCATGATGCATTGATGATTGGTTCATGTTTCAGAGAGGAGCTAGCCATGTTATGGAAGCTCGTATAAAAAATACCATGGTAACCACAGTTTTCGCCAAAATACCATCGCTGCTGCTGTAATTGCTGTCGGAATGAATGTGGGATCTCCTTTAAAACGTGCAAGAAGCTTTCAGAATCTATTTTAATTCCTCGTTTCGATAGTTGACACTGGTATCTAAAATCACTTTGCTACAGATTTTAAACGTATACAGAAATCTGATCTGTGGCAGTCATTGCGTGTTTGGCTTGTAATAATGCATATGGTTTTTGATAATTAGATAATGTCACATATGAAGATGTAAAAATAATGAAAATTCCCCGTTCAAAATATCACACGTTCCTCCTTTTTTTCTTATTAATGTGACTTCTTATTTATTGCATTCACAACTGTATTTTTTTTACTGTAAAAAAATTATATAACAGTATACAAAAAAAAAATCCAATATTTGTGATGTATAAACAGCACTATTTTTATGTGCCTATTTTTTTCTTCATGTATTTTAAGTATTGACCGTCAGATTTCTGAATGAGGTGTTTTGGTAGAAAGTGTAAAACAGGCTCATGAGTTTTGATTTTAAATGTCTTGAGAGGAAAATTTAAAGATCTGTAGTGTTTTGTATCACGGGTTATGGAAAACTTATGAGAGAAGTTTAAATAGATTTTTTTTTTTTTGCCATCCTGAATTGATGGAATTGAATTGAAAGTCATGGAATTGATAGTCATGAACATGTATATAGTCAGTATAAACATTTCTAGTTTATATTATTTTTTGGTTTGAATTCATGAAGTCATGAATATTGGTATCACTTTACAATAAGGTTCCATTAATGTATTAACTTGCATGAATAAACAATGAGCAATACATTTATTGCAGTATTTATTAATCTTTGTTAGTGTTCATTTTTTGTTAATGAACAGTCGTTCATTGTTAGTTCATGTTAATTCACAGTGCATTAACTAATATTATCAAGCACAACTTTTGATTTTAATAATGCATTAGTAAATGTTGAAATTAACATGAAATAAGATTAATAAATGCTGTAGAAGTATTGTTCATTCTTAGTTCATGTGAACTAAAGTAGTTAACTAATAAACCTCATTGTAAAGTGTTACCTGAATATTTATTTATATAGTCAGTATGAGCTTTTGTAGTTGTGATCTAAGATCTAAATATTGTATATAAGTTGCTGTTTGTGAGATCAGTCTCTCATAAGTGATTTTTTAATATTTGTAAGTTTTCATGCATTGTGACTGAGGCCGCAGCAAAAATTTGTTTATGCACATGAAGTTTTGAAACAACTTTTCAAGGCCAGACTCTCGTGAAATACAGCATTGTGCGTTGGAGTCCAATGACATGTAGAAAGGTTGATAAGGTGCGTGATAGTTCAGCGTTTGGCTGGTTCCCCGAATCCACAGTATCTGAGTGGTGTTTGAATAATGAGAAACCGAACTAACCATATAAACATTCGACATTTGTCAGCTGTTATACTGACACACAATTCCTGTTTTCCAGGTCAGCAGCCCCTGTTTGTCATCTATCAACTGCCACTTCAGAGACTCCGCCCCTGGCCCCGCCCTCCAGAGATGACTGATGCCCAGAAGGCCAACGAGCTCCCTGAATGCCCCACAGAGGGCGGGGCCACAGCAGAAGAGCAGGACATGCCCCTGAGACAAGAGACCACGCCCACCAGCTCTCCGGCGTGCGAGGAGCCAATCAGCTCGCAGAGTCCTGACAAACAGCCGGCGCCTGGTCTGCTCTCCATGCCGTGCTTACTAAAGGAGCTTCATAGAGACTCCGCCCCCGGGCAGCCACAGGAAACAGACCCGCCCCCAGCCGCCGCCCAGTCCTGTGTGCAGGAAGACAGCGATTCTTCCGCCTGCCTGCTGTCGCCTTCCTCCTCCGGTCACCTGGGAGACTCTGACACGCTTTCGTCAGTGGAGGAAGCGCCCGCGCCCGTTCAGACGGCCGGCAGGAAGTCGCGACGTTCGCATTCTGAGAGCGATGCGTCCACGGTTGCCATGGCGGCCAAGAAGAACCGCTGCCAGGAGAAGCAGGTGAATGGGCGTGTGCGCGTCAGAGGCCCGCGCAGCCAGCAGCAGAAGCAGCGCATGCGACAGCTGCGGCAGAAACGCGAGGCGGCGGCGAGACGCAAACCTGACGTGCTCCAGGACAGCAGCACTAGCGACAGCGACATCACAGCCCACTCATCCTCATCCTCGCCGCTAACGGCCTCATCTGACAACGAGGGAGAGACAATCAACTCTCACGCACCAGGTAAGTGAACACACACACACACAGGTTACTTTGTGTGGACACACATATGTCGCGAACAAATCCTGAACAAATCGATTCGCTGATGCATCACGGTTCTTTCTCAGATGATTCTGGATTGATCAACAAACATTCATTATTCATTTGTTTATTATGAAACAACCAATATGACTGTTATTATTATTAAAGGGGTCCTATTATGCTCTTTTACAAAGTCTTGATTTTGTTTTGGGGGTGTACTAGAACATGCTCTCATGCTTGGTGGTTCGAAAAACGCATTATTTTTCACATAATTTACATTATTAAAATACCTTTCTCCCCAAAGAAAGAGGCGAAATGGCTCGATTAGTTCCGGCTTTGATGAACTTCTTCATCGTCTCGTCTGATGCACTCAACCAAGCGTTCTAACCACAACCTCGCCCCTCCCCTCCCCACCCCCCAACCATTCGAATTTCTGTAGGCGGGAATTATTTGTAATGATATTCTAATGAGCCGCTTTGTGATATCACAAAGCCCGGAAAACAAACGCTGTAGTCCAAACGAGCCGTTCGTTGTAGTTCTTGAAAAGGGATTTTTAAAAAACGAAATATCTCCCTTTGGAGTGGATTTTGAGATTTGTAACTTTCTAGATCTTTTTTATGCCTAAACATACACACTACACACTGACTAAAATAAAAAAAGTGAAAAAGCATAATAGGACCCCTTTAAGTGTCTGACAACCAGTGGAACCAGTTTTTAATTGTTTTATTTTTGCAATTTGACAATAATAACTAAATTGTTAGATTAAAGCTAGAAAAAGATTTTAGATTTAGATTTTTACAATAGATTTTATGTTTATCAATATTATTAGTAATGATGCTATTGATGATGATGATAATAATAATAATGTTAATGACAATAAAACTTTACTTATTTGACCATCTCACTTTTAAAGGGGTCATATGATGCGATTTCAAGTTTTCCTTTCTCTTTGGAGTGTTACAAGCTCTTGGTGCATAAAGAAGATCTGTAAAGTTACAAAGACTAAAGTCTCAAATCCAAAGAGATATTCTTTATAAAAGTTAAGAGTCAGCCACGCCTACCTAAAACGGCTCGTTCTAACACGCCCCCAAATATCTACGTCACGATGTGGGAAGATTTGCATAACACCGCCCAAATGTTCACACAAAGAAAGAAGGAGTAACTTTTATTCTCGCTGTAGTATTGTTGACGCTGCAGCCATGTCTCACGCGACTCTGTTCCCCTTTCTCTGTCTTTATATTTATTTTGAAAGATGAAGCTCGCGATTATGGAAAGGGGGCGTTACATTTCCGACGAGTGCTTGTGGTGTTCGGCCAATCAGAATGCACTGGGTCAGCTGGCCAATCAGAGCGGACTGCGCTTGTCAAAGGAGGGGGCTTTGTAGAAAACGAAGCGTTTGAGAGAGGCGGGGCATAGAGGACCTACAATAATGTACAGTATTTGAAAAATAATGTGTTTTTTGAACATTAAAGCATGTCAACATATTCTGTTACACCAAATACACAAAATAATGATCTTTAAAATAGCATCATATGACCCCCTTTAATGTCTGTTAAGAAATTAACAGTACCAGCAAATTACAATAAATTATCCATCAATATTATGTTGTTAATAATATTAAAATTAATAATAATTATTATTATTAATATATTTCTTATCTGACATTTCACTTAATGGTTAATGGTTGAGTAAAAAAAATATATGACTACGTGGTGCCAGTAAAATTACAGTAATGTTTTTTTTGGTATTTATCATTATGTAATTATTTTTATTAATATATTATTATTAATGTTAATTACAGTAAATAATTGCTTATCTGACCATCTCACTTAATGACTAAAAACAAAAAAAAACCTCTATGGTGCCAATAAATTTATTTTCTTTTAAAATTTATTTTAATTTGTGTGTCATGTGCATTTTTAATTTGTGTTGTTGTTGTTGTTATTATTGTTATTATTAATGTTAATTACAATAAATAATTACTTACCTGACCATCTCACTTAATGGTGATTAAAAAAATTATATGGTGCTAGTAATCGGTAGACATTAGGCAGACATTATTTATTTTTTACTGATTAAGAAAACAGTGTGGAGAAAAAAAAAAATATATATATAGTTAAATTGGTTATTTCATATTAAACTGACTAATTTTTATTTTTGTTTGTGGATGATAGCCAGCATATTATTGTATAAAGTACTATAAAATCTCACTAAAGATTTTCAAACCTGTGCTGTGTAAGTTACTGGAAAAATTGAGATGCATCAAGAATCGTTTTGGAATCCGATTGACTCTGAATCTAAATTGAATCGTGAGATGCTGAAGATTCCCAACTCTAGTCCTGAAACAAACCAGCACCTTCAGAGAAGCCCTTTTGACGTTTCATTTCTCTCATGCATTGATCGGTGCATGTTGACTGAATGACAGAACGGTTGAATAAACACACTCATAGATCAGGCACATCACACACCAGTCCCATTACATCAGACGGAGCTCCTGCAGCGGTCAGGTGTGTTTTACTGTGCATGCATGTTGAATGACCTCATATGCAAAGCGGCAGGTGAGGAACGTTTTTCCGCTCTCAGAATACAACAGCGTTCTGACCTTACACTGACCTCAGTCTTTAGTATGGTTGCAAAATTCTGGGAATTTTCAAGCCTGGAAAATTTCCATGGGAATAAACTGGGAATTTGCAAAAAAATGGCAGGAACAGGGGAACTTGAATGTAGTTGGGAAAAAAAAAAATCTTGCAGCATAATCTTGGTTAAAACAACCAGATTTAATGCAATTTCAGTTGAATTTCTACCTCAATCACATGCACACAGCGCACACACCCTACATGCACTGTGCATTCCTCCATAACATGCACAAATAATTTCTTGATTCCTGAACACACAATGATGTCAAAATGTCCATCTTGGTGAGTATTCACGTAACTTGCATATTGCATAAATTTATGTTTAAAACTTTCTTGTGCTGTGTGTAAGCTATTGCGCAACAAAATTATACCATTGTAAAAACAAATACACTGACTGAGCAAACATTTAGGTGAGGAGATTAAAAAAAAAACTGTCTAAAAATGACCCTTCCCCACACACAATCCCGCCTAGTCACCTAATGGGGGAATTCTTTTTCCAGGCTTTTTGATATTACTTGGGGAAATATATTTGATCTATGGCATTCAAGTTTAACTAGCAAATACCAAAATGTGTTTATACAGTAGCTAGCCAACCAGTAAATCAGATATGAAAAATGTAAGCTAGTTAGCACTATTTCATTGATCATTTATGAGGCTAGGTATCATGTGCTAGCTAGCTCAGGCTGTGATGCTCTTTCTTGTAGCTTCTGCTAGCCAGTTTTCTGTTATAATACAGAAGTACAGTACTGGTCAAAAGTTTGGGCACATTACTATTTTTAATGTTTTTGAAAGAAATCTCTTACGTTCATCAAGCCTGCATTTATTTGATCAAAAATACAGAACAAAACAGTAATATTGTGAAGTATTATTACAATTTCAAATAATGGTTTTCTGTTTTAATGTACTTTAAAATATGATGTAGGCCTATTTCTATGATGCAAAGCTGAATTTTCAGCATCATTACTCCAGTCTTCAGTGTCACATGATCCTTCAGAAATCATTCTAATGTGCTGCTTCATTATAAAAAAAATTATATATAACCTGAGATACTTTTTTCAGGATTCTTTGAATAAAACGTTAAAAAAAGAACAGCATTTTTTTTTTTTTAAATATTTTTTTTTTTTAACAATACACTACCGTTCAAAAATTTGGGGTCAGTCAATTTTTTCTTTTTTTTTTTTTGAAAGAAATTCATACTTTTATTCAGCAAGTATGTGTTAAATTAATAAAAAAAGTGATCGTAAAGACTTATATTGTTAGAAAAGATTTCTATTTTGAATAAATGCTGTTCTTTTTAAGTTTTTATTCAGAAATGTATCCTGAAAAAGTATCACAGGTTCCAAAAAATTTTTGGATCATTTTTTAAATTTGCATTAGTTTACATGCATGTCGGCTTATGACCAAACAAAATGTTTATATTTATGTTTGTAAATTATACAGTTTCTTGATATTTCCCCAAATTTCTAATTAATTCCCATACATTTCTGTTAAGTTTCCAACTTGGAAGATTGTCAAAATTCCTCAGATTTAGTTCCCATGGAAAGTTTCCAGAAAATTTCCTGAAATCCGCCCGTTTGCAGTAGGGGTCCAACAGATCGTAGATGTTAAGTTTAACCATCACAGAGTGAAAGTTTATCATTTGCACGTGTTTTGTCTTGCCAATTTACACATTCAAGCAATTTTAAACCATTCAAGCGAAAGAGAACTTGAATCAGGACTCGCACACTGTTTTCTGTGTGCACAGCCGCTGCCGCACACACACACAGAGAGAGAGAGAGAGAGGTGCGATTCAGACGGCGCATGAACACCGTATTGATTCCTCTTTCACATCTCTTTGTGCTTGAACGGACACATGCACACAAAGCTATGTTAAAATACCCGTTTTGGCAGTATTAGGTCTGTCCATTTGGTCTTAAAGAGACAGCAACCTATAAATACCTGCTTCTGTCTGCTAATCAAATAACACCACAGCTTTAACAAAGATTCATCTGTATTTAACTTATGCAGTGAGCACTATTGTGTTATTTTACACTTAATTATTAAATTTCTGCACCTGAATACTACTGTTACTGACTTTATTTGTAACTTTGTTTTATTCATCTATGCTTGTAATTTGTGTAATTATTCCTGTTTTAAGCTAGTAGTTTTTGCCGTGGTATAGAAGTACTTAAGTAAGCTTTCAGTAATAAATGAAAAGCAAACTTTTTTTTTTGCCGATCTGAAAAATTATCCAATTTGTGACTCAATATCCGTAATATGATCCGAACCGTGAGTTTTGTGATCCGTTGCACCACTACTTTGCAACCAGTCTTTAGTGACCCACCAGAATGACCACTAACTCTGGCT